TTTTCAATGCTATCAAATTCCAGATTTGGTCATCTCAAATCTCAAAGAACATCAATCGGCAAGCAACCGAGGTGTCATTCGACGCAACTTTTTCTCCTCTTTCTACCAGTTGTTTTTTGTTTCCAATTCATCAAGTTTTCCGGAATAAAATTATCATAATTCAGTTTTCCAGGGCGCCCCAGTCTGTACCCGGAATTTTCAAAAGTTGCTAATCTGAAGCGGTGAATGCTCATTTGGTTTGTAAAATTAGTGATAAACCATATTCCATCTTTTTAAGTTTTAAAATCGGAGGAAATATTGGTGTTTGATGCATTTGTGTCTGAGACGAGCCTGCCAAAATTAGGTGGTTCCATCAAAAAATCGGTACAAAACTTATGACGAGTTCTGAAAAGTAGAAAAAAGTAGTGCTGTTTCTTGTTGGGTTTGCTCTATCCAATCATTACTTGGACTCCTTCCGAGGGTTGTTAAAAAAATTTGAAAAAAAAATTGTGAAACTTGGCTTTCTGAAAAAGCATGGGTCGCAGGTTTTGATAATCTTTCGAAAGGTTATTGAATTTTGTGCAGCGCTTATATAACCATTAGAAAGAGAATGAAATGCTGCATCAAATGTTGCCAGAATCTCGTACACATCTTTCTTGCACGAGATGTGGCGACGTCTGAAAAAAGCGACATTACTTTCGGAACGACCTAATATATTAACATTATGCTCCCTGACTCCATGGAAAATCTAATATCGTAGAAAAAAGTATGAGAAAAATTCTGAAAGAAAGAGAAGTTGGAGTGCCTCACAAATAACTTTATGTTTATAAAGCAGGGGCCGCAGAGGTAATTATTTCAGTGGATAGCCCTCCTTTCCTTTCTAAATAGGCCCTGTTACAGTTGAAACGACCGAAAAATTTCGAACGAACGTATATCGGATAATCGGCTTTTGGAAAATATTTGAACGAACGAATATTATTCGAATTGTAAAAGACAAGCATAAGCTAGCTACCGATCCGGACCATACTTGACACACATACACTTCGGGGCGGGACGGGTGTCATAGACCACTCTTCGTCATCGATCGATATCGATTTTATCGATTTTTATTGATTTTTTTGCAGAGTTTACCTACGGAGCTGGGAGTTGGCACAGGGGGGGGGTAATCGAGCATGTTGATTACTAAAACAGCGTGAATAGTAAATTGGCATGTAGGCTTGAGCACAGGGAAAGGTTGTGCTGGGATAGGGATGAGAGCTTTATCATAGCGTTTTGACAGGGCCGGGCGCGGGTAAGCCAGCTAGTACCTTTATAATATTTGGATAAGCATTTTTTATGACCGGCCTGAAATAGAACAGAGAATCATGGAATTTGCATGAAACTTTGCATACGTGAACTTCGGGGGTGGGCGGGTGTTACTAAGCTTTTTCACCGAAAATCATCGATTGACGCTTCTGGTTATAGATTTTTGGCGCTTTTTGCTTGGCATTTTTGTCATGACCGGCCTAAAATGTAAGAAAAAATAATCCACCGTAACAAGCGCTATCGATTTATTGATTTTCTCGTATTTTAGCTCTGCGCCCAAAAACAGGTAGAAAGAGATAGCTACGCATGGTTAATTCAATATCTATAACTTCAGTCTATAACCTTTTCCACTTTTTTTTATTCTTTGTATTTCCTTTTCTGGAGGCTAGCTGATATTCAACTATGCCAACCTTTCGCAACGGGACTCGCCGACCAGCTTAGCTCATCAACAAAATCGAAAAGGGTCGTTCGTTTACAAGATCACACATGACTACCAAATAAATGACAGTCAGTCAACACTTAGATGTAATTTGATTTAGCCCTTATTTACGTTCGTTCAAAATGGATAGAAAAATAGGATCATGGGATATAAACCAAATTTGGCAGACGTAAAGCATGGGTTGCGCCAATGTTAGTAAGCCATTCATACGGTACCCACGGTTTGCTGCTACCGATTTATGGATTTTTGCACTTTTCGCTTAGAAATTTTTATCTTTGCTTGAAAACGATAGAAGGAGTTATGAAATTTGAACCAAATTTGCCATACATAACGCATGGGATGGGGTGTGTGTTATGAGCCGTTTTGTTCAACAATACTGACTTATCAATTTATCGATCTTTCGCAGTTCGCGTTTTATTCGTTACTTAGAATATCAAATCGAAACAAACTGACGAAGACGGAAATGGTTTTATCTGTGTCGGTTATAAATCGAAGTAAACTGTGCAAAATGGCATATTTTCGGCAAATTTTCACATTTCAATAAAGAGTAAAACGAGAGCGGCTGTTACTTCTATATAGGCTCCAATCTAATACTTGTCGCGCTGAGTTTCACAGTTTTTATTTCAAGATTGAATTTTCACATTTGTTTTAGTCATATTGCTGAGGTCTGTACTTTTGTTCTAAGCGATCTTCCACATCCTTTACTCAGGTTCAAAATAATTATTGTTCAACCTACACGCCTACTCAAAGTATTAATCCTCTGTGAACTTTTCAACATTTAAATTGTAGTTTACGCCTTCTGATTATAAAGCTAGGCGATTTGTGTATGGTGAGTGACATACAAGCTTCCGCCACAAGTCAAGCGGCTCAGTTCCTCGCGACCTTCTTGCTCTGGCTTGCGCTATAAGGCAGTCAAGCAAAATGGCGATTTCGAGATTTTGTGCTTACTCGGGACCATTCGCGCTATGCTGAACTCGAAAATCTACATTGGAGAGCGCGAAAACGGCGAAAAAGTGCTCTAACGCAAGAGGTAAATCTGCAAGGGGTGGGGTCTTCCATAATGTGAAGTCACGCTCCCACCTTCCGAAGCGATCTTTACGGTTTCGATTTCAAGTCATGCATGGAACTTGGCCGGCAATATCAGGGCAACTAGCGGAATCGAGAGGATCGCTTCCGAAGCTGAGAGCATGAATTTGCAGTGGAAAAGATTCCCTCCTTTCTCCATCTGTTGTTTCCCTCCTGCATTAGAGCTCTTTTACGCCGTTTTCGCAATCTCCAGTGTAGATTTTCGGATTCAGCATAGCGAACAGGCCGCCCAGGTAAGCACAAAATTTCAAGTCGACTTTTTGCACAGATACTGCCTTTGAAGTTTCAGGTGTTTTGATATGCGGGCAGTGATTAGGCGGGAGGGTAAGTGGAGATCTCAGGATAAAGGAATGACTTGCTAGTACGTGCTGCCTTAAGAAATTGCTGGTCCTTCAAACGCTTATGCAAGCTGTTTGAGGACAGTGGTCCGCTAAAGCGGCGTTCAATGACGGCTTTGCTCCTTCACTCAACTTAGTGTTTGGAGGTATTTGCGCATGTTATTGCATTTCAACCTCTGCAGACGCTTTTTCAGAATATAGTTCACCGCTTCAGCTTAATTATGTATAAGAGTTGTCCTCACTATGCTCTGGGACTTGTGATTGATTGCCTTAAGAAGGGAACCTTGCTAGCCATTCTGTCATTCGATCATTCATCTGTAAGAGTGACCGATAAGAGACATACTTGCACCCAATGTAGAACAGCTGAAGTTCTCTTTGAACATCAAATGTTTGAATAAATGCTTATTAATATTGGTTATTCGAAAATGCACTTCTTCAACGCTTTCGAATAATCGAATAATCAAATGACTATTTTCCATAATGTTTCAAAAATTTGAATTTTCGAATAAGTTATTTTTTCGAACTCTAATGAACAATATTCCGAAGGCCTTTTCCTTATATTCGACTATTCGAATATATCAAATAAATGGACTTTCTTAAATATTCGACTATTCGAATATTCGAATAGTCGAATCTTTCAAATCAATTATTCGTACGAATATTCGGTTCCAACTATAGGCCCTATATTAGACTTTGCCAAAGTTTTCGAGTTTTTCGGAGAAGGACAAACAAAGTGTAACAAACTTATGTTACGACATAATACTTTTGCAACAAATGAGAGCAGTAATTGGTAATTGTGTGCAAAATAATTTTTTCAGATGAACTCATCAAAAATAAGCAGCCTGTGTTTTATAGTGAGTGACTACGTTTCCTTCGCTCTTCTTCCAATATGATACATAAGAATTTAGGCTCTTCTGATTGTGCTAATCTGCATCGGTAAGTTTTTTGCCTATCTCGTTGATTTATTGATTTTTCAAGTAGGTTGATCCGTTATCGTTGTTTTGTTACAGAAGCTCATCCGCATTATGGAGGAGGATGCATGAACGGCGGTGGATTTTACAGACGTTGAAAGTTATTTATACGATAACTAAACTTCAACAAGTCAGCTTCTGCGAGACGCATAGATAAATTTTTTTGAATTTTGCCTCTATTTTGCAGAACTATACAATTGAATTAAGTGCAGGTTTCAGAAAAAGAGTGGCTCACGCCGTGTGCTCTCGCAAAACTTTCCTGCCAAAAAGCAACACCTCAGCTACTTCAAACGTTGACGAGTGCATTTTTAGCTGTCTGCCTTGTGGGACAATGTCTTCTACAATTAAGTTGAATACTTTTAGCTAAAATCAAGCAGGCCGTCATCCGCAGTATCCCTACAGCGATTTTGAGAAGCAGCCAAGAAACGCGAAAGTAATTTCTAGGAACACAGCATACAGAGCTTCTAAAATCACAGTCATTACATGACCCACTGTGTGGTCTTGTTATCGTCCATGTGTTAGTCAGATCTTCCGCGGCTCCAGAAAAGATTTGTCAATTAATCGAAAAGGACGTGGCTCACATCAAAACGCCGTCAGTAGAGTGCAAGTTACTGTTCTTCGACTTTATTATTTAGATAATAGGACATGAATAAAAGTACATCCACAAAAAGTCAAGAAATATTCACAATGAGCAGCTAAAAAATTCCTGATCAGCATCCTTCTGAAATGGTAATAATAATGACCAAGTTAGAATGGGGAAAATTTCGAGTTTTAGCAAGTTGTTTCGTCAAGCATTTTGACGCCGCAAGGTACGGTTTTCATAGAGGAGATCAATCGTACACAAAGCCCACAAATGATTAAAAAAGGTGACTTACGGGAATTATGGCTGGCGCTGAGGTTCAAAGAAGTAAGTGATACTGAATGAAATCTGAATACTCATACTGGGTGGTCTCACAAGTGCTTTTTTGTAAGCTGTCTCCTAAACCCTTTTTTTCATACCCTTTTTTTCACCTCCCACAAAGTCGTCACATATCTGAGCTCTTTTCCGGCTTTATATGAGTTTGCTTGAGATTTGCGCAACAACCAATCTTAACTGTATCATACAATTACTCATCTTGACAGTATTTTACTGCAAAACTCTAAAGATGTGTAACTGTGCAGCTGTGTAACTAACCAGTGTTTCGAGAATGGCCTAGCAATGATACCGGGTTGGAAAGATTGTTGTGAAAAATCCCGAGAGCGTCTTGCTTTCAATGTCAACTCGGCTCGCTGTTAGCAATGCAATCAAAGCAGTACCTATAGTAAATTCACTTTTCCCAGTTTGCTTGAGGCTTAAGGCATACCTCACGCGATTCGACCAAATCGCTACTTTCATGCGACTTGGCGATTTGCCAGATTTCTACAAATTTACCGTGCGCGCTTCTCGGACGCATAATTGGGTAGCTTGTGTAAGTCGTTGCAAATGGAGCAAGTTCTGACCAGAGACAACGCATTAACGGCGAATAACGAAGAGTCGCTATTGTGCCGAATCCGCAGCGACCGGAATCGCGCGAGGTATGCCTTAGGCCTGAGGAAAGGCGCCGGAAAAAAGCACGTCCACATTGAGACACCCAACAGTATGACTGAAAACACGCGAACTCATGAGTGACACCTTGACGTTCGCATTGCTAACAACATTCTTGAAGCTGCAGAGCAGAACCTCTTTTCTGGACATAAAGTGTAAGAATTCAGAATTTGTTGAAATTTTTTGTCGTTCTGTCTGAAGCGCGATCATATTTCCAACTAAAGAACTTAATAAGCTGCTAATATTCTCTCTTTTGTGGCTCATTTGCATTCACATAGCATTCACATTTTTATAATCACCCTAATGGATACATTCAATATTTGGTTTGTCAAATGGCATTTTACGGCCCCTAATGGTGTTCGTACATACATTAACAGTACAGACATTACATACATTTTGTCTACTGGCTTTGCTGAAAAAGGAGATGCAAGAGATTGTCGACTATATAAGCAAATTTACAAATTTCATAATGCTATTCTTCGTTCATTCTTTCAAAAATACGCTTCTTGATACGGCAATCAAACTAGCATTTTCAAGTAACATGGTTTCTTACCTCTTTGTTACCAATTTTTTTGAATAAGTTGCTCTTGTGGAAAATTTAGAAAAAACTCTTGTAAGGAACACCTTGCTAATTGCTGATTTTCTTTAAGGCCAAAACTTCCTCTTTTAAAGTTGCAGAAATCTAGCAGAGAAGACAGTAAGCAAATGAAAGCGCCTACGAAAGCGTACGTACACTTTCTCAAGCAGGAGTAGAAATTTACTGACAAGGAAAGGATGGTTGGTCAAAGGGCCTTTTGAGTTGGATTGGGAGACGGCCCTTCTGAACCCACCGTCCCCTACAGTAATCTAGAACCAGGACGCGCGCGCATGCGCTGCGATGACTGCGGACGAGTGCTCCGCGAAGGGCTCGTATTTTCGAAAATCACCAACTCTTTTCGTGCGGCTCTTGCATTGTGGGATGCAAGCCAATCATGCTGACCTTCAACCAAACACAGCTACCATCCTCTGAATGTCTGGTATTCTGAGCCCTACTTCCCAGCAGGTATGTTTATGAATTATGAGACATTTTCGAAGTCTTATTATTTACATGATTCATAAATAAACTCCTCATGAATCTCTTTTGAATTCTTTCGAGACTTTGTTTTTTCTTGCTTTTTTTCCCACTTAAATCCCTTGTTATGCGATCCTTATGACGTCGTGCATCGTCACATCATATTGCTAATGTGAGCTGCTTGATGTTATTGAGGAAAGCCCATGTAATCAAAGTTTGTGTAACAACTCTTTATAAAGGCCAATTATAACTTAAATTGGTGATCACGCTAATTCGTTATCAGATGCGTATTTCCTTCTGAAATTTCAGTGCAGCTCTGTAGCTTTCCAAAGAAATTATCATCTCTTCAAAATTCTCATTCTAGTAAAGTTTACGAACGTGCATTTGAAATTTTTACGATATAAAAAGCATGATGCGTGAGCAAAGAAAAGGTCGCTACCAAAATTAATCCATGTAGATCACGCTACCAAATGAAAGTGATGCATTTTTATTTGATTGCGTTTTTGATATGGACGGTGTAAAAAAAACTTCATACTCATCATTAAAAAAAACGTATGCTTCCTTACTGGCATTCATATAGTGCACATTTCAGTTGAATGTAACTAAATGATGCTGCAAGGAGGCAGACGTAGGAGAATAGAGCATGCAATCGAACTAAAAAACAGTAAAATAGGTCGAAAAAAACATTGAAAATGTCTTATAGATCAAAACAATCCATCTTAGAAAGTGGCCGGCGATTTAAGTAGTGTGAAGTAGAGCGAATAGTTAAGTTATTGAATTCCAGGGAATTTGGGGAATTTAGGAATTTTCTAGAGAATTACCTCCAGGATCTCATTGTGGAGTAGGTTATCAGCGATTTGAAACTCGTCCACCTCCGCAGCGCGTCTGCCCAGGTCAGCCGCTCGCTCCCGCGAGCTAGCCAATCATGGAGTGACCTCTAATTAGCGCTGACCTCTTATAGCCGTCGCGGGGCCTACACCCAGTTGGGTTGTCTACCTTCATGGAGAACATTAAACGCTGATTTTGAATCTGTCTTCCTTATCTGCGGCGCATTCCTGGACGAGGAGTTATGAGCGATTAAAAGAGCAAAATAACAAGCGTTTTAGGATAAAAATTTTAGAACTTTCCCAGTGCTTGAATGAGACAGCCGGAGTGCAGATATATTTCACCTAAGAGTATTTATTTTATAGAGTGCTGGAAAGATTACCGTTGGTCCGTTTAAGCGTTAGGAACAATGTTACTACTGTTTTTATATTATTTGCACATTCAATTTTTTTCTTCAACAAACGCTCATAACTTCTCGTGCAGGAAGCACCGCAGATAAGAAAGACAGATTTGGAATCAGCGATTTTTGCCCTCCAACATGGTATACAGATTATCGCAAAAAGCACTTCGACTTACCATCCTTCCCTTGTGAGAAAAAGAACGGAATATAAAGCTGCGCACGCGTTCAGAAACAAATTGCTCAATGCTTTCACTTCTACAAAAAAGTTGTGTTTTTAGACAATTATTTTCCTATTATCTTCAGTCGCCTCGGACTACTTACCGTTGCATGAATCTTGGTTTAAGAAGGTAAGATGCTTGAAACAATATGTTTGAATAAAAAGTACAAGCAATTTCTTCCTTACGTGCTCTGAAGAGGAGCCATCTAAGGCCAAAGAAGACTTTAAAAAATAATTCTTTGAACCTAAATGTTTTTTAGCCGTAACAAAACTGTTTGAACTTTTGTAAGAACTTATTACTGCTTTTGAAAATGCTTAGTGAATCCCAACGCAATCTAACCATTACCGCAGCCCGCCACCATCAGTCGATACTATGCTCTTGTTAAGTCTCCGGCCCGTAGTAAACCCCCCATCAAGGCTTCTCTCTCGACGCGGACCGGAGTTGAGGTCATCGCGCCTCAGTCCAGCATACGGCGAGCTATTGATTTGGATGCGGATCACTGCCGAGGCATTGCAATCAAATGTGTACTTGAAAAGAAGCACTCGAGCTGGTTTGGTCGAACGGGTAAGCGATTGGGATTACGCGCTAGCGGCCGTGGTTCGACTCCGTCTACCAACTCGCTTTTTGATGCATCGCTGGAAAATCTTTGATAGCGGCCACTATGGCAATCGACGATGATCGCTATCAAGGACTTCGCCAAGCAAATACACGGATAAAACAAAAACACAATTTGTGACGAAAATTTTATGAAAAAACGAAATGATAGTAGCGTGTATTCAATGAAATGAATAAATGAGTTCTCGTCTTGTACAGCCAGTGAGAAAAAAATCAGTAAGATTTACAAAAAAGGGAAGAATTTGTTTTTTTGTTTTTCTCGCCAAAATCAGCTGTTCATCGAGCCTCTCCTTTTCGGGCGCGGTTGTGCAGTTTTGCGCCGATTTTTTCTGCATTTTTTGGGAAAGCTGTGTGTATCGTAAGTTACTCAGGAGCAACTTATGTTAGATGCAGTCAACTCTTGTCTGCGTCTCCTCTTTCACACGCTATTTGCATTCCTCTAACATCCGTTCACGTTAAGGTCACCTCAACGTGAACGGATGTGGAACAGTTGACTGCAGCAGGAGGACAGATGGCCAACTATCAGTTGACTTGACCATCTTATAGCATGAGAAGGTGGACGGTCATCAGTTCACCTCACCTAAGCTTAACCGATGGGATAAGTTGAGTTCACCTCAACTGATCAAGCTTTACTACGGGCCTCCATCTAAGCATCGGCACTCATAACGAGAATCAAATAGGGAGTAAAAGCGTTGATGTGAAGGCATTTTTGTTATTACATAACGCGCGAATGCACGAGACCAGGGCTTAATTTGTGTGAGTCTTAATTAGTGTGTAGTTTTAGACAAATTCGACAAAAACAGAAAAATTTTGCGAAAGACTTGAAATCATTGCGTTGTCATACAGGACGTAAATGTCCTATGTAGTTATGCTTGTTGTCTAGCTATACATGTTGTGAGAACTAGTTAAAATGAAAATTTTACATTTTATACATTTTTCCAAGAAATTTCCTCTTGAACGTTGGCGATTGATAAGCATGTACATCAACTCGCCAAGGCGTCAAAAGACACTGAAACCTTGTTGATCTGCACTACAACAGCGCTAAGCTAACTTTAATCATTGAGCTTCTTGAATGCCAAAATTTTTTAAAATTACTTATATGGGCTATAAAAATGCGCGAGTAACTTGTTTAATTTTGTAAACAATTAAAACACTTTTAAAATTTTTAAAAATTCAAATCAGCCTCGTAAAAAAATTTTTTCGGAGGCGTGGCTAACGCCACGTTCCCTTTTCTCAGATTTTAGGGGTTGGGGACCCGCAAAAATTCTGAGAAGCACCCCAAAAATTTTTTCGGAGCGCGTCAACGCCAAGCACCTTTAGTAGGAAAAAATTTTTGCCCCCTTCCGCTCCAAAGTCCTGGGACCGCCACTGCTGCTGAGGTATGTAGGGGCGTCTCAACTCTGCCTGAAGCAAAAATTATTGCTAGTTCATTGTCTTATAATCAGAGTGCCCCTACTCCCATCACGAAAAACAAGATATACGCCCTTCGACGTCATAGCGAAAATCGAGCTTAGATATACAGGTTGTCCCAAAAGTATGTATACATTGTGATCACTAATATCTCTCTTTCCTAGCAGTCCTTTGCCTGCCTTTAGGCATCGTTTGGTAGAGTAGGCTTCAGCTTGAATCTACGGCATGGAGCGAATCAACTATCTTCGTTTACTACTGTTGGATTACGGTAGGGAGTTCAAGAAGAATTTTGAGCCATTTAGACCCCGCCTTAGAAAGCAAATCAAAAAAATCCGGAATTTATTACCCTAGGCTAATTGAAATAGTAAAACCAAATTTGAACTTTGCGTTTGACCGCGATGTCTCCTTCATGATTTATGCCCTGTAAACCGTAATAGCTGTTTTTACGATGCTCCTTAAAATTGCAGTCGCCTTTTGAAAGCTTTGCAAACTTCTAGAAAGTTGAGTAATGAAATGAGCTCGCGTAAAATACCTGGTTCACCAATTTTCAGAATTTTTGGAAAATTTTGAAACACGACTAATCCACAATGACGCTGTAAGGTCAGAAGTTTCTACCATAATCCTACAGAAGTTTCTACCATAATCCTATCGAAGAACGATCATTGGTTAGCTGCATACTGTAAATCTAAGTTGAAGCCAGCTCTACAAAACGGTTCTCTAAGGTAGATATAAGACTCCTTGGGAAGAGAGGTATCAGTGATTCAACAGTGTATGCATGCTTTTGGGACACCCTGTATTATATTCATTCAAAAAGGAGGTTGTATCCCTCACAATATTTCACGATCACAAATTCTTCCAATCTTGTAAAATCGAGGTAAAGTTAATCATTTTTTCACGTGCCTGATAGTATTAGATCGTAACAAAAGTTTTGTTACGCTTGTCGAAAAAGTTTTCTAATCGTAAATAATAGTAACCTTCCAAAAACTTTTTCCTCATCTCCGAATGAATCGGGGGATAAGGTTTTTCGGCTAGCAAGCTACACATGCAAAAATGAATCCTTGAAACTTTTGAAATTTCGAATCATTTTTGGAAAATTTTTAACTTTCGTTTTTGAGCAGCTAAAATTCACAAACTGCCTTCATATTAGCATTGTGTTCTTTTTACTCCATGAAAGATCCATGCACAAGAAAGTATGGGGAAAATTCTACAAGAAAACGAAAAAAGGTTGGAGTGCCGTCACAGTTCGACATTAGATTCATAAAGAAAGGGCCGCAGAGGTGAGAATCATGTCAGTGAATAAAGCCCTTTCCTCATTTGGGCCCTATATGAGACTTTGCCAAGTTTTCGGGTTTTTCGGAGAAGTACGAACAAAATGTAGCAAAACTAATGTTACGACGTAATACTTTTGCAACAAATGAGAACAGCATTTGATAATTGTGTGCAAAATAAGTTTTTCCAGATGAACTCATCAAAAATAAGCAGCCTGTGTTTTATAGTGAGTGACTACGTATGTTTCCTTCGTCCTTCTTCGAATATGATACATAAGAATTTAGGCTCTTCTGATTGTGCTAATCTGCATCGGTAAGTTTTTGCCTAACCCGTTGATTAATTAATTTTTCAAGTAGGTTGATCCGTTGTCGTTGTTTTGTTACAGAAGCTCGTCCCTATCCTCATGGAACAGGATGCATGGACGGCGGTGGATATTTCGGGCGCTAAAAGTTTTTTTTTATACGATAATCAAATTTTTCAGCAAGTCAGTTTCTGCGAAACATATGGATAATTTGAATTTTCTTCTATTCTGCGGAACTTTACTACTTTAGTCTTTAAGAGAGTAAGAACTGAACAACATTAGAAGAAATAGTGACTAATTCAGATGCAAGTTAAAAAAAATGTCGCTGTCGCCGTGTGCTCTCTTCAAAAAATTTCTGCGAAAGCAACACCTCAGCTACTTCAACCAGATTTTCTACGTCTCCAGAAAAGATTTGCCAATTCATTGAAGAGAACGTGGCTTATAACAAAACACCGTCAATAAAGTGCAAGTTACTGTTCTTCGACTTTGTTATTCAATAGAACATGAATTAAAGTATATGTACAAAAAGTCGAGAAACGTTCACAATGATCAGCTAAAAAAACCCTGTACAACATCCTGCAGTAACGATAATAATAATGGCCAAGTTAGGATGGAATATTTTGAATATCAGAGCAAATTGTCTTGTCAAGCATTTTGACGCCAGTATTTACGCAAAAGTTTCATAGAAACCAATCAATCGTACTCAAAGCTCAAAAATGATTAAAAATAGTAAAATAAAATACTTACAAGGGATTATGGCTGGCACTGATCCAGAAAAGTAAGTGATACTGAATAAAATTCGAACACTTCTGAGTGGGCTTGCAAGTGCGTCTTTAGCAAGCTGTCTCAAGAACTTTTCCACTTCCCACAAATTCATCACATGCTTAGGCCTTTTCTTGCCTTCTATGAGTTTGCTTGAGATTTGCGCAACAAGCAATCTTGACCGTATCGTACAAACTCAACTCGATAATAACAAGTAAAATTTTATTGGAAAACTCTATAGGAGCTGTGGAAACTAGTGTTTCGAGAATGGCCCAGCAATGGTCAGGTTGGAAGATCGTTGTACAAAATTCCAAGGCGTCTTGCTTTCAATGCCAACTGGACTCAACCGTTAGCATTTAGAAGCAGGCAGTCCCTATAGGAACTCGCTTTCCCCAGTTTGCTTGAGGAAAGTCGCCGGAATACTGCACGTCCAGTGAACATTCTTAAAGGCAACGTACACCCAAAATCTAAGTTAACGAATTTCCTCGATCTTTCTATACCGTGTATATACTGGGCCCAGAAGAAGACCAACCGCGTTGGTCCGGTCTCCCATTGTTGCTTCTGAGCTGAGAAAACCCCCTCAATTTTCTTTCGCTCCGCCTCCTCCGGACGAATCCACGACAGCGTAAGCTTCAGTTGCCGTTGCAGTTACTGTTGCAATGCTGTTGCATCTGCAACTGCAGTTGCAACAGTGCAGTTGCTTTTTGGGTGCGCCTCCTTCGGGCGACGAACCACGACAGCACTTGCAGCAGTTGCAGTTGCAACTGCAGGCTGTCATGCTGTTGCAGCTGCTGGCATGCCGACGGGAACGAGCAGTTCGAAACTCGTCCGCCCCTGAGAGAGCGTCCCCGAAAATCGGGGTTTTTTGGGACTTATGGAGGATTTCAATGACATGACTGCAAACAGCGGCACGGAAAGGCCCCAGAATGACAAAAACATCGAAGATGAAATTTTGGGTGTACGCTGCCTTTAAGGCTACAGAGCAGAAACTCTTTTCTGAATAAAAAGTGTCCGTAAGAACTCAGATTTTATTGAAATTGTTTGTCATTCTAGCTAAATCCAATTCATATTTTCAAAAGAACATAGCTGCTCATCGGTATTCTCTCTTTTGTCGCTCATTTGCATTCACATAGCATCCATAATTTCAATGCAGTCGTCCTAATGGGTATATACAACATTTTCTATTTTTTGCTGGTACGTCAAATGGCATTTTAGAGATCCTAATGGTGTTCTTACATATATTAACAATTCATTTTGCTTATTGCGTTAAGAAAAGGAAGCGCAGGAGAGTGTCGGCTATATAAGCTCGACAAGTTTCACAATATTATTCTCTCATCATTTTTCAAAAAATACGCTTTTTAATACGGCAATCAAACCAGCCCTTATAAATGACTTAGTATCCTACCTCTTCGTTGACAATTTTTTGAATGAATTGCTTTTTGTGGGAAATTTAGAAAAAACAGTTGATAGAAACACTTGATAACTGCTGATTTTCGTTCAAAAGCCTAAATCTTCATTTTTGAAGTTACGATCTAGCAGAGAAGACAATAGAGCAAATAAAAGCGCCTACGAAATCGTACGTGCACTTTTCTAAGCATGAGTAAAGATTTACTGAGAGAGAGAACAAATTTTGAAACTGCGCAAGCGTCCACAATGGATTGCTCAATACTTTCACTTTAATGAAAAGTTCTGTTTCCAAAAATATAATTTCCTGATACACTGTAGCGGTCTCGGACTACTCATAATTGTTATGCTATTCCGAAATTGTTATGTTTGAAACAAAATCTTTGAGCAAAAAATTGAGGCAATCTTATGCTTACTTGCCGAGGAGCAATCAAATGCCATCTACTGTCTTTGAAAATGCTTAGTGAATCCCAAGGCAACCTAACCACTCAGTTAATACTTTGCTCTTGTTCCGTCTCCATCTAAGCATCGCCACTCATCGCAAAAATCAAATGGGAAGTTAAAATCTTAATATAAAGGTATTTTTGTTACTGCATGCGCGAAGGACACGAGAACCACGGACTCAATTTTTTTGAGTCTAATAGTGTGAATTTTTAGACAAATTCAACAAAAACGTAAACTTTTGGCTGAAGATTTTCACTCATTGGGATATTACACAAGACCTCAAATGTCTATGTAGTTATGCTTGGCTGTTTAGCTATCACAAGTAAGAACAGGTTAAATTGAGAATCTTGAAATAACCTTTGTGCATTTTACCAAAAAATTTCAATTTTGAATGTCAGTTGTCCGCATTTTTTAAGAATGTGTGTACATTAACAACTTTTCTTTCTAATAGCACATTGTTGTTTATGATGTACATCGCTACATTAGCACTCGGTCGATATTCACTGCGCAGACATATCGTTTGTACAGTAGAATATAATTTTGCGGTCCCTGTGCGATATGGAAGAGTTGTGCTGACTAGACACCTCTCGTAAAAGTTAACTCTGCCAAACATTTCCTTGAGCATCAACCACAATTTTGTCATGTTTTCGTTTCAAGGATTACATACTCATACCTGAAACTTATAAGAGTGCTTTGAAAGGTAATTTATCGAAAAACGCTCAAAAGATAATGGCTGAAATTATGTTGAAATATATTGCAAGAGCGCTAAGTCGAGTTACATTCATCATAACTCCTAGAATGCCAACGAAGTGATCAAAAACTGAAAATTTCTATGTAGAGGCGTCCCAACTTTATCTAAAGTAAAAATTACTGGTAGTTCATTTTTTCCTAAACAAGTGAGCGCTCCTATGCCCATCACAAGAACAAGATATACGCCCTTCGATGTCATAGTGAAAATGCGTATAAAAAAAGAGCAAGATGATCTCACCGCAACTTTTATCAATCCTGTGAAAATCGATGTATAGTTAATTATCCTTTTTACGAGCCAGAGTAATAGTATTGGATCATAACATAACTTATGTTTGATCGAAAAAATTCGTGAAATTTTCCAAAAATTTTTTCCTCGTCTTCAATCACTGAGGGGTTAAAGTTTTTCGGCTCGCATTCTACACATGAAAAAATGAATCATCAGAATTTTTGAAGTTTTTTATTTTTTTCAGTCAATGCTGCCAAAATTCCAACTCTAGCTTTTGATAATAAAATCCCAAACTGCCTTCATTCTAGCTTATGTAAGGCATAAAAGAACTGAGAACGCAGAAAAGAATTACCAGAAAAATTCTAAAGAACTTTATACTCATAAAACAAGGGCCTGCAAAAGTGTAAATTATGCCAGTGGATAACCCTCTTTCCCTTCCTTAGATAGCCCTATAGAAAATTCGCCAAAGTTTCTGAAGTTTTTTTTTGGAGAAGGACAAACAGAGTGTAACAAAAGTAATGTTACGACCTAAAAGTTCTGTAACAAATGAGAGCAGCATTTGGTAATTGTGTGCAGAATAAATTTTTTTTCAGATGAACTCAGCAGGATTCAGCAGTCTGTATCATATAGTAGTGAGTGATTAAATATGTTTCTTTCGTCGTTTCTCTAGTATGATACCGCTAAAAATTTAGGCTTTTCTGATTATGCTTATCTTTATCGGTGAGTTTTTTGCCTCTCCTGATTGATTAATTGATTTTCAATTTACTTTAGCCATTATCTTGCATTTACAGAAGCTCGTCCCTTAGAACCAGGATGCGGGAACGGCTCGGGTATTATCGGGTCTTACTGACAACCTGAATTTTCACCAAGTCAACTTCTGCAAAATCTAAGGATAGACATTTTTAATTCTGCCTCTATTCTGCAGAATTATATTACTTCAGTCTCTAACACAGGGAATAAATAACAACTTTTGAGAAAAAAGTGAGTGATTCAGATGCAAGTTTCAAAAAAAAAAGAATCGCTCACGCCATGTGCTCTCTTCAAAATTGCGAAAAAAGCAGTACCTCAGCTACTTACCTACACATCTCAGCGCAGTATCGGTCGTTTCATTATGTTTATGTTCATTACGTTTCATTCATGAATGGAGATAAGGGCTTGGAATAGTCAAAGTGCTATCAGGCCTCCCCCAGATCCTATCAGACTTCGCCCAAACATGTACTAAGAGCCGCTCGCACCCTCAAGACAGGCCCTCAGCAAATAGGTTTTTTTGGAGGTTTTGGAGTATTTGAACTTCGTAAATGTAATCAGGGCAAAGGAAAGGTATCCGGAATGGCAAAAACATGGAAAGCAAAGTTTTGAGTGGACGTTGTTTTTGAGAAAATTGTCACGATTCTATTGCCGGCTTGTGAACGCGTTTGCTTTGGCAGGAAGCAATTCACAAAGCCGTCACTACAAAACATCGATGATAGCAGCTGTTAAGAATGTGACCTAGAGTATGAAGTCAACCTTCTATCAGGGACAGACAGTACATTCAACACTAGAAAAATATACTTCTGAAAGTAGAAAACCAATTTTTTAGTTTCGTAGCCTCCTGACAGCAATGAACTGCTCATCGATACTCTACTATTTGAGCTCCAAAGCTGTGTACTTTTACGCGTTTTCCAACGTGAGCTCAGGGTTACTGAGTTACTCACGAACAGAAAGCTGGGTTCATAGCGGTCCCGATTCCGGAGCAATTCCACAGATTTCGCACTGTGCTGGAACTGTGCCGGGACTGTGCTGCATGCGCTGCAGCCGCCCGCATGCGGTTATGAGCGGCGCGAAATAACCATTCTTTAATTTTTTCGAAGGTTTCCATAGTGATTGGCCATTGTCGTCTCATTCTCGCAATTTGCTTTTTTGTGAAATAAAAAATTGTGAATTTAAGGCAGGATTCAATAATAAAGCTTCTTCATGTCATATCTTACATAAATTATCTACTTTCCTTTGCCTCCTTCACAATTTTGCTTTACACGCTCATTTTTTGTGCTTCAAAGAGTCGCTGCATCCTCGATATTCAGCTGTCTTCAGAGAAGACTGATACAACTATCACGATCGCGGTCGCAAATTGTTCTAGCCCGATTTCCTTTAACAATTTCTACTATATGCTTTTTCGTTCTTGATTATTGCTCCGATTCCGATGGAAACAATTTGGGGAAATGTACCGAATGGGAGCGGCATCGATTTGTGACAGTTTCAGCTTATGCACAAAACGAGATAGATAAAAAACTGAAGATGTTCGTATTCGTCGAATTGGCGGCATGCTTGTCCGGCGCGCACCTCTGCACACTTGGAGCAGGCTTGCCGCCGCCATACAAATTATTTGGAGAGCTGTAACTAGGCGAGGAAGAGGGAGTTTAGGGGATTTGAAGACTCAGTTGTAAGGTTTTTGATGCAGAACAAGGTTATGTTAAACATGTGAGAACATTATGTTAAGGAAAGAAAATATATGATTTTTTCTTTTCACAGCCACCTAACTACGAAAAAAATTTGCTACGCCTTCAGTTCACATAAATTTTTCATAATTTGGAGCATAGTCGTAACTCCCTATTGCCCGTCTACACACCAATTTTGGCATCATTTCATTTTCCCTTCCCGTAAACAAGTCTCTTGTTTATTTCGGAGCAGGTTTAAATTCGCGCGCTTAACCGACGAACATGTTAAAACATTAAATTCTTGTTTTTTGCAGGTAGATAAGGCAGAAGTGACACTTTGCTCTTCCATAGAAGATGTGTGACATAAATGCAGAAGGCGATTGTGTGTGTGGGGGAGGGGGAAGGTTGGGCTTTTCGCTTCAATGATATCCCCCTGCTTTTTATTCCGAAACGATATCCAGCTTGCCCTGTAAGCCACCTGTGCCAAGCCCTGGTAATTATACGAGTACCCTCTCTGGCGTACGGGTAAAGAACAGTTTTCAAATTTTCACATATCTCATGCCGTGAAGCGAAGTTTGAGAAGCAAACACGTTATGCCAAGCATGCATGAAAACTTTGGACGTGCAGATAACAGGACTTTTACGACCAAAGACTGTAAATTTGCCAGATCTTTTGAGATCCCTTCGATTTCCAAATTTTAAATTTTTTCTCTTTTCATTCACTATTCAAATTTTTTACAACCACTCCTTCTATTACTGAAAATGAAGGCGGAATTGCTGCAAACAAAATGGACTGCATTTAAAACCCCAGAAGGCATCTCGTCGAGCTTGGAATTTGACCATGAAACTGAATGTTCCTCATTCGTGTGCATTTTTAACTCACTACGTATCGTGCAAGACCATATACAAATTTTTTTTATTATTGTCAGAATATACTCAACATATTTTGGCCTATGCATATCACAAAGGACCTGTATTCGCAAGGAACTTCCTTTGGACGTGCTCCTATTACAGGAAGCGTTCCTAAATTTGCGAAATAGATGGCAAGACTGCAAGGTAGCACAACCATGAGTACCTGAAATCATATACATTGCGATAAGAACGATGTAGTAGCACAACTTACTATAAAGAAGTACAATCTGCTCAATTTTATTGTCTTCATCTGTAGTTTGTGCTTGCAAAAATTTGCTGAAAATACATATCAACTTTGTTAACGTTTTGATACAAAAAATTGTGCAAGAAAAAAAGAATGTTAAAAATTTGGAAAGAATGTGGAAGTGATAGCCAAAACAAGAGTTGGGGGTAATGCCGACATACATGCTAGCGTCTAGAAGTTACTCACGACATCGTTCCAATAGACATAAAGACGTTTTTCATAAAGACGTTTTTCATCAAAAATAAGCCTTGAGCTTTCGAGAACTGACGATTGCACGGGAAATAGGCGTCGATTCGTGAAAAATTATATCTGATGACATCAACAGCTTATGCTTAATACAAACCGTCTCAGATCGTTTGATGGTGATTGTACTTACACACGCACTGAAATTTACGGGAATGCTTTGTCTTTTTTGGACAAGTTTTAAGTCGTTTCTCGATAAAGCAAAGCAAGCTCTACAAGAAGTTCTAAACATCAGCAAAAAGCTTGTTCTTTTAGAACTTTAAGGCTACTAAGAGTTTCAAGCTAACAAATGGTAAGAGAAATCGGACCGCATTTTGGAAAAATTTGAAACCTCCAACTTGCTCAGGAATTGCAAATTACAATTACATTACATAATTGCAATGATTCGCTTCTGTGAAAATTCTCACCGCTTTCGCACATCAAAAAGTTAACATGAACGTAGGTATTTACTAAAGGTAAATTCATGTGGCGAGACCATTACGGAGCAGCTCCTTGGCAAGACTAACGACCGCTAAGGTTTTTCGCTTCATATCTGGAGTTTCTTCTTCAGTCACTTCATTATATTGTCAAGCCTGCGCCCGCGCCTATAACATCAAAAATCGTATTGTGCTGAAAATCCCGCTAAGAAAGTCATACAAAAAAGTCCAGTTGAAAAATCTTTTCTAATAGAACTTTTGCTGTACCAGAGACATCTGAAAGTGATAGATGATTCAAATTAACGTTTGTGGTTTTCGAAGATAGCTGTACAAAAATAGAAAAACCTTTCCTTTTCTGATGAAAATTAAAAAAGAAAAAAGTGAAAGTGACGGAAGCTAATAATGTGCCCATTTCCTGTGCACCCGTAGAAAAAAAGGTTCAAAGTGCCGGAACGATGTTCCAGTCAAAAATGTCTCAAAAGCGAGAGCCTTCAACCACTGCACATTTTTATACATAAAGCAGGTGACAAAAATGTACCAATATCATGTTTCACGAAATTTGAAACATAAGTTCTACTTCATCACTACTGGAAACAAGAAAGGAAGGGGAGTCACATCTGTTGGCTAACGTTTATTCCTTGATATTCAAAAAATATGGTTAAAGCTATTTGTTGGATTAGTGGACAATATACAGGGTGTCCCAAAAAAATGTGCCTACTATTTGATTGTAAATAACTCTCTTGTAATGAAGTGTTTCGAGAAGCTTTAGGTACCGTTTTGTAGAGCGAGGTTGAACTTAGATTTACAGTATGGAACGAATCATCGATCTCTCTTCATTACTGTGAGATTACGGTATGAACTTCCAGTATATGGAACCATTGTGAAATATACCATTCAACAAAATTTTTTTCAAAAAATCTGAAAAATCGTGTACTAGGGTTTTCGCGCATGCTGATTCCACTTAACAACTTTTTACGAGTGTTTTCAGCTTTTTTGACGGTGTAATTACATTTCTGACAAATGCAAGGAATTGATTTATTACGATTTACCGGGGATAACTTTGGAAAGAAGCATCACAGTAAAATGGGAATTTCAAATTCGAGATCAGCGGCTCCCATCACCGTAATGTAAGAGTTTCTGGCTTGTTTGGTTTTATTCCGAGGCAGAATATAGCCTCCAATGACATAAAATCCTTGTCGAAGTTCGTACCGTAATCCTACATTAATGAAGAGCGATAGATGATTCGCTCCCGTAGCGCAAATCTAAGTTCAAGCTCGCTTTACAAAACGGTACCTAAAGCTTCTCGAAACACTTCATTACAAGAGAGTTATTTACAATCAAACAGTGGGCACATTTTTTTGGAACACCCTGTATTTTTTCTACCATTTTTGGGTTTTTCAAAAAGCTACGGTCACACAAGTATCTCCTTGATTTAAGATATTTACCTCCTAGCCACTGATGCGAACCTTCCTTATTTTGAAACAATTATTAAATCAATTCCAGAAAAGAATGAAGTTTTTTATCTGAAAAAAAATGCGATTTTTTACGCAGCAAAATCACAATTCAAATGGAAGTCAGAAAATGCAGGCGTCTTTTCTAAGAGACTACAAAATTGAATAATTTGATCTATGCCGTCAATCCGACACGTAGTAAAAACGAATTTATACAGGAGCGTTCAAAAATGATTGAGCTCAACACCGAATTCTCCCAATGGCGAAACTACAGTACGAAAATGCTACTGACAATGCTTTGGCAGCGTTTTCTTCAAATAGGAGGCGTAACAGTTTGAAGGGATTCTGGTGTTGAACATGCGGTTTATAGGGAATCAATTCAATATCAATATGGCAGGAAAATATCGAGACCATCTATCTTTCATTTTTTTCAATCCTAATTATTATCATCAATCAGCATACAATTTGCTACAAAAACAACCCTTTCCGTTTCCATGACAACAATTACAGCATTCCTACGGTTTCTAGAAACGCAAAAAAAGTAAATTCAATTCTTCTTAGCATTTTGGAGTGTTTTAGCGAGCCGCAATTTACTTAATAAAGGAGATCTCTGCGGAGCAGGCGCATACTTTGCAACTGTAGAATGCCCATGCATGCAATTTTTCGAGAATAAAAAAATAAACCTTGTGTTTGTCTCTGTCGAAACCAAGGCTGGTAACATCTTGATTGGTCAAACTAATCAAAAATTTTAGGTCCACATCATCATTACCTCACTTTGTGAACGAAAAAAAATGGCGCAATCACATTCTGGATTGGTCTTTTATCATATAAAAAGAGCCGACTCTTGTCTCGAATCCAAAGAAGATCCAAGCTGAGGTGTACCTAAACACCAAAATATATCGACATTTTATATACCAGAAAAGGGTTCAATGAATCTAAAAGGTTTACACTAGATTTAGTGTCGCCCCCTGAAACATCGATTTACTTTGTCATATTATTCACTTCACTAACTGGCAAACCCGGCCCCGCATGGCCCTGTCAATAATATGTTCGTAATCGGTATTATGTTCACTTACCCCCTGTGCCAATTCCCAACCTTTAGCTCAAACGTTGCAAAAAATCGATGAACGATTTAAGGAAAAACTGTCTACGATACCTTCTGGTTCCGAGTGCATGTGTGCAAAGTTTGGTTCGGATCGGTTCAGAAATAAGAATCTTTACTCGAAACACACGTACAGACAGACACGACAGACAGATATATTAGGTCGCTCCGAAGGTAATGTCGCTTCTTTCAAATGTACGCCACATTTCACAGAATCAAGATTTTCAAGAGACCTTAAAAGCATTCAATGCAGCATTTCATCCACTTTCTAATGGTTGTAATATCGTTGCATAAGATTTAATGAGCTCTGGAAAAATTACCAAAATCTGCGACTCATGCTTTTTGCTATGGTCAAGTTCGGCTATTTTTCTAAATTTTTGTATCTATTTTCCGAAGAAGTGCAGTGACAGGTAGATAGAGCGAACCCTACAGGACACAAAGCAATTTATTTCTTTTCCTTAGTTTGCTTCTTAGAGTTTCTAGAATCAATATTTCAGTGCTATCAAATTCCATATTTGGTCAACTCAAACCTCACAGAACAATAACCAGCAAGCAACTCGGGTGTTATTAGAAGCAGCTTTTTCTCCTTTTTCTGCCGGTTATTTTTTGTTTCTGATTCATAAAGTTTCCAGGAATAAGTCATCATAAGTTTTCCAAGGCACCTCAGGCTGTTCCCGGAATTTCGAAAGTTGCTAATCTGAAGCAGCAAATTCTCATTTGCTTCGTAAAAATAGTGTCAAGCAATAATCCATCTTTGTAAGGCCCGTATGCACGTACATCCCCGCGGGGAGGGGAGGGGATCTGAGAGGGGAAGCATCATATCTCGCTAGTCCATATATCTTTCTTCTTCTTTCTATATCTTGCTTTTGAAGGTTCTCATACACTGATATTTGCGCATAATCGATGCCAGGTTACTGCCATACAAGATTAGATATTCACTATCTTGTCTGATCCCCTGGGGATCCCCAGGGGATCACCTCATATTTTCAAAGTCATTTATCTTCCTGGAAACTCAATGAAAATGCTTTAAAATTGTGCCGAGGATATACTACAGCACTGCTAAACATGCTTATGGTAGAAATGAGTGAAATCTCAAGATATCAAATTTTTCGATGAACCGCTGCTCGCGAGCCAGGGATTATCGAAAAAATCAAAATCTTCAGATTCCATTTCTTCTGTCGAAAACATGCTCAGCAGTATCGTAGTATATCTTCAGTACAATTCTGCAGCGTTTTCATTGATTTTCCAGGAAGATAAATGACTTTGAAAATGTGAGGTGATCCCCTGGGGATCCCCAGGGGATCAGAAGATATAGTGAATATCTAATGTTGTATGGCAGTAACCTAGCATCCGTTATGCGCAGGTATCAGTGTATGAGAAACTTCACAAGCAAGATAGAGAAAGAAGAAGAAAGATATGTAGACTAGCGAGATATGACGCTTCCCCTCTCAGGTCCCCTCCCCTCCCCGCGGGGATGTACGTGCATACGGGCCTAAGTTTGTAAATCCGAAGATTTATTGGTGTTTGATGCATTTGTGTCAGAGACGAACCTGCTAAAATTCGGTGGTTCCATCAAAAAATCTATACAAAATTTATGACGAGCTCTGGAAAGTAGAAAAAAGTTGTGCTGTTTCCTGCAGGGTTTGCTCTATCGATCCACTACTTGGGCTCCTTTCGAGGATTGTAATAAGAATTTCAAAAAATTGTGAATATTGGCCTCCTTAAAAAGCATGGGTTGGAGATTTTGGTAATTTTTCAAAAGATCAAAGAGTATTGTGCAGTGAAGTTAGAGCCATTAGAAAGAGGATGAAATGCTGCATCGAATGCT